GGAGTCTCAAATGGACATTCTTTCCAGGGTGTGTCTGTTTGCTGCCTTAGATGGCTAAAGAAAAGCTGAGACAGCAGTCACCCAGAACCACGATGGAAGGGATTTCCAAACAAGCTTTGGTATTTAGACAGACGGCAGCAGGAGACATTTATAACAGGCCTGCTCTTTACAGCTTTCTGTTTTCACTTACTGTGGATCCATATGATTTCTTTATTTTGCCATCATGGTTTTGGAGCTATCTTTTGGTCTGATTTCAACAGATGTGGGCAAAATTGAGGAAAGGCTGTTGTTTTTCAGATCTTGCTTGATAAAGTGGAGATAAAAAGTAAATAAGTATGACTCATTTTAAATAAGAAGCCAAAATAGATGTGTATAAAGACCCCCTTCCACCCCAGCATACACATGAAAATATCAAAGTGTTATTTTAGGGAACTGTGCCTTAAGAATTACTTGGATCTCCAATCTAAAAACGAACTAGACAAGATGAGACATAATTGCACAGCACATCAGTGGTATACATGTACTGGATATGGCATGCTAACAGGGAGTGACATTTTTTAGAATACCGAAGAGCACTTACACTACCTCACAATAAGGACAGTACTGGTATTTACATACAGTAGATATAAGTTTTCAGGTCTAAAATCTTTAAAGATTAGGCAAAGTTTGCTTCAGCATGTTGTGGTTTAGTAAATTCTGGTAGTGATTTTAAGAATCTGGAAGATAATCAACAAAAGATTAAGTTCTGTACTAAGAGAAATCTCAGTGGCTTTGCTGTCCAGTCAACTCTTGAAGCACAACTGTATGAGCTCATAAGTGATAAGTTCAGAAATATGATCTTAAAGCCTGATCATTGGTTCTTACAATCAGTTTTAAATGGGGTTAAGTACAGTTAAGCCCAATTGAGGCCACCGGACTGAGTGGACTTCTCAAGCCTAACTGTTATCAGAGTAATTGTTTCTCACCAAAAGCACTTTTCAATTCCCAAAAGCTGCAATTTTAATTAAGAAATTAACCTTAAAGCATGTGCAGTTATTTGTGTTTTTGTTCTCCCACGATCAAGCATTACTGTGGGATGCATTTTCTTTTCAGTGGAAATCAAACAAAAAGAAACAACGCTAATTGTTTCCAGAATGCACACAGGAAACAATTTTATTTTATTTTTTTTAGCCAGGCTTTTAAGGAGGCTGCGTCACTTTGCAGTGTGCGGTTGCAGTTGGTTTTGATTTCCAGAACGTGCCTCAGTTCTGCACCCTGGAATGCTTGCGGTGACCTTGTCTCCGTTCCAGTGGCATTGTGTTCACTCAGGCGCAGCCCACAAGCCCAGGCAGGCCCTTCCTGACAGAGGCGCAGTGAAAAAGGGTAAAAATAGTTCCAGAATCTTCTGCTACAGGGAAAGTGGTGTCCTAGTCTGTACATGAAGCTCACAGGCAGCAGGGTAGGGCTACTTAATGGGAAGAGCTTGACAGAGAATTCAGGGAAACAGAAAAAAATAACGGCAAAAAAGTGACATCACCTCTCCATCTGTCCAGGTTTTTCAAAATACTTTATATATATTTTGTCTAATTGATCTTTTCACCTCATAATGATGAGAGCCTCTCAGAAACTGCCCTGTTCTTTGCTATTACATCATTAACTTGCAGTGGTGTCTGACTGGACATACAGTATGTGATTTGATTGCTGTCAAAATGGGCCTGTTCTATGGCTAGACACTGTATATAATGAGTCTTTAGGCAGGACTTAATTTAGTTTAACAAGGGGTTACCTCTGAACTGTGTGCGCAATGTGGCGCTTCAGTCAGCTAAGGCTTGTGTTCTTAAATGTCTGCTTTTGTTCTCACCTGACGCTATGGAAAGGAAATCATGTTGGATGAGATCAAGAGGCAAATACACAAGGCCAGGTTGTCTGGCCTAAATATTGGGTTTAGGGAAGTCATTATAATGTACACATTTAGAAGATCTGTAAATTGTTATAAAATGTTTTTTTGTTTAGGAAGCAAAAACAGGACTGACAGCAGTCTGGAAACACCAGTTGTTTGTTTGGCAAAAGATGTCTTTATCTTCACCATTTCATGGCATTTGAAAGTACCTTTCTTCAGTGACAGGCCTAGGAAATATCAACTGAAATTTCACGATTGTGTAATTTCACTTTCTTTTTTCACAATTCATATGATAGCCTCTTTCTTCCAAAGAATCACACTCTATGAAAGGGAAAGAAAAATATCCAATAGAATTTGGGCCTAATTTGTTTTGATGCATCAAGAAGAAAGAATGTGCCTGAAGAGGAATTCAGGAATCAGTTGTGCCAACCAGGTCTCCTTAGGGTTTTTTATTTTTGATTTATTCCCACATCTATTTTTTTACTGTGAAACAGGAAACTATAAAAGTTGCTTCCACAAATAATTAAAATGATTGTGTTCTGTGAAAAATTCTTTAAATACTTTTTAATTCTTTAAATTAAAAATTCTTTAATACATGGCATGTTAAATAAGCATGAACAGAGGTTTGAGTTAAAGGTGTGTATCACAATAACTATTTGCTTTGTTTAATTACAATTGCAAATAATAATATTGCGATACAATAATGAAGAAATGATAAAAAATGTTGGAGTGATAATAAAAATCACTTGTTATACAATAGAGGTTTATGAAGAGCAATGGCTTCCCTTTGAACACAAGCTTATGGACTTCACATTCAATGATTCTATTAAAAAGCAAAAATATATCGACTTCTTTATTGACTTGAAAAAAATACAGTAACAAACACTTGAAAGAAAATGGAAGAGAAACAAATATGGTTGTATAAATAGCTGATCAAACCCTTATCTTGAACCTGGCACAGATTTAAAACAAAAAACACCTCTCAAAGAACAGTTACAAATAGAACATAAGACCTTTTTTTAGGTGTTGAAGTCAAATTTTCTCTTTGTGGTAGGGTTTCCCAGTCAAATGAGTGTACATTGATCCTGACACTTATTGTGTACAGTTTTGCTGAATCAAACAATGTTGTCTTGAACTCGCAATAACAGGGGGAATTTCAAAACTTTATATCCCAGAACACAAGTTGCTCATAATTTATAGAGAGTAAAGTATATATTTTTGCAGATGGCAATGAAGATAGACACAGAATTGATGTGAAAGCAAAATATAATTTCTTTAGCTTGCACAAGAATTTGGATTTTAAAATGCTTTGTTTTAAGAGACAAACTGAAAATGTCTCTGTTTTCAGACTGGTCCTGTGAACAGTCTGCAACTCCTTTTTCATTCCATGAAAATTAATTTTAACTCAGCAGAATTCACATGAGTACATATTATAGAGCCTAGTAAAGAATCCATTATCACTGTAAAAATGCATCTGTTTTGGTAGTTAATAGGAGCTGAAGAATTAGATTGCTTTCAATTTCCCTACTTAGAAAACCTGAGTAAAGTCATAGTGTGTTTGGAACATTTTAAGCAGTGAAAAATTAGTTATTTGTCTGTTCACCATATTCTTTGTTATACAGAAAAGGCTGTTTGATTTTTATTATTTTACATATCAAGGAGATTTCATTATTTGCCTTGTATGGTCCTTGACTCTATCTAGGCTCTGCTTCTCTCTAATCAAGGTTGCTTCCACAACCTTCAAGGTTATTAGGAGAACAAGGCTATTGGGATTGTTTTGACTGTCTGCTTTTCTGATTATTTGGTGCATAAACTGTGGACTAGTTATGGGTTATTTGGGGGATCTGGGTTATTTTTTCAGAATTTAAGTGTGAATTTTGGACAACTATATGAAAATATTCAACTTGGTATGATTTTTGTTTTTTAACTTTTTGGATATTGGGTGTGAGTTAGATACTATATGGGAAAGTCATGTTACTATGGAATTCAGCTACAGACACCAGATTAATGTGGTCAGCCTCAAAAGATGTAGTTTAATAAGGATGTGAGGTGTTTGGATTTTTTAGCTGATACAGTATGTGAATATGAGCTGATTAAGAATCTCTATTGTTTTAACTAATGCAATATCAGTGATGCCCTACTTGGGTAATGTAGAATTCTTATAGTAAGATTGAGGGGAGTTTGTAAGAGAAATTGTCTAGCGCATGATGCCCTGCTTTAACAATCAACCAGAGAAAGCAGGAAACTCTGTAAAGAACAGGGCACATCCTGGAAAGCAATTCATTCACTTTGCCATCCTGTTAACATCTGTGTGATCCATTTCGTATAATCATTTTTGGACTGCAGAGGCTACAGCACAAGACATACCAGGAAGAAATAACCCACGCATTAGCAGAATATCTGCATCTGTACGAATTTCCCGCTGTCGGCATGAAAACTAGTCAGAGGTCAGGGGTAATGTGGCCAGTTGGCTGCACCTACAAGGATGGATCTCAGAACCGCCTGCAGCAGCTTATCCAGGTTCATCAGTTCTGTATGTCAGGGCTGCCAGGACTGAGTAAAATCTCAGAGAGGACATACAGTACCTGACTCTAGCGCTGTCAAGTTTTGATTCTGGCAGTGTCACATTTCCTGATGAAACCTTATCATGATTTTTTGTTTTTTTGGTCTGCGTTTTTGATCACATTGTCTTGTCTTGTTTTTATATCTGTTATACCTTGAAGTTGATTACAACGTTTGATACAAATCAATTAGATCCCAGTATTGCATTTCTTTTGTGCATCAATATATTCCGTTTGAAAGCCCCATGGTCCAGATAGATCTGGTTCAATATTGTCAAGCAATCCTGTTTAACCTCTCTGTAAGGATTCTATGTTGTGTTGTTTGATTGATTTTATTTACCCAGTTAACTTCCAGGAATGAGCACTTGTGTAAAGAGAGAAGTATAAATCACATTTGGCCATTGTCACTTAATCCTTGAAGGAGATGCCCTTCTTTCTAACCTTTTGTATCTGGATGTGGATCAAAAATCAACAGATTGCTTTTTAAAAAAAAAATCCAAATGAGAAACTCAATGTTGAACATTCTGACTTGTCTCCTGTTGGTGTGTGTCTCTCTCCAGCTTGCAAAGAAGGACTACACTGTCTGGGATCACTTCCCAGTTCAGGGCAAGAAGAATGGCCAGGAGGAAATGACCTTAGAGGAGCTCATTGCAGTCTTCAAGGTAAAGCTGACTACCTCACCAAGCCTTTCTGTTTAGGAACCCACAGAAGTTATCTTCATCTTACAAGCAGATGACATCGCATTAGTATAAAGTGGGGAAAATTCAATTTCCAGCGTCTGCCGTATTAGTACAGTTCTTCAGAAGGAAATGTATCTGCATCTTAATGTGGTTTTGCTTTTGTATAGTAAGAAACAATCCAGGTTCTGTGTCCAAAGCAGGAGGAGTGAAAGACTGGAGATGACTTTACAGGCTCACTGACAGTTCCATTGCTCATTACAGTGGGGCGTGCAGGCAGAGAGAGAACTTACAGGCCTCCGCTGGACTCAGAGGAGGGGTTGATGTGTTTTTTTAACTCATTCCTGTAAATTTGTGATTACTATTGTTTCTTTTAGTTGATCAATGTTACTTAAATTACCTTAAAGCCAATGCATTAGTACTTTAACCATAAATACTATAAAGGAACAAGAAATAGGTTTATTCCATGCCGAAAAGAGAAGAAAGAAAACACAGTGTTTCGGCCGTAGGCCTTCTTCAGGTGTCGAAGCTACCCACCTGATCTACATAAATACTACGGTATATACTGTAGTACATTACACGACAGTATAGGGGCAGACTTTAGCTATTTGCAATAGTGCTCTGCTCTGACCCCTTGCAAATATGGAGATCCTACTATTTATATAGGCTGGAACATCATTCACGGTGTGAAAACACGTTACGTGCACTGCATGTTTTTTTAGGAGGAGCACTTATTAATTGTCATTAGTAAGTCTTACAACTGCACACCCAATGTGTTTTTTTTCCAAGGATGAAACTGTACCTCTTTTGAGAAGAGGGTAGTACCTGGTTTTGGTTGCTAGTGGTGAAGAATAGGGAAGGGCCAGGCAGGGCATAGGCATTTGACTTGCTCCATGTCCTCCACCCACCTGTAAGAAGGCGGGAGAACAGCAGGCAGCCGTCTGTCAGAAGGTAGACTCGGCGCGTTTGGACAAGTGCGGCAGCACACCTTTCATGTGACTTCAATCAAGAACGCCAAGAGGCGCTGACTTTATACGCGCGCCAGGGCTTTCATCTGCAATTAACACCAGTAATTCTTTAATTGTCTCGGTCTACCTCTGAGAGTGATCTCCATTGAAACTTGCTTTAAAGGAGGTATCATGTCATCTTTGTGCCAAATATCTGAAGAGATAACAAAACACAGTAAATAAAGGGCTGCTGAAAGGCTTCCCCATTTTCTGTTTCATTTCGTTTGTGAATTAAGTAAATTGCGCATAAACATCTACCTTCAATAACTGTATGAGAAACAAGAGGAGGGTAATTTCCAGTTTCTAAATCAAAAGAAAGAAACAAAAACACAATTTCATCTGTTTCATCTGTGGAGCCTCCTTTAGGCCTTTCACAGCTGTTGGTCTGAAATCAGCATAGGCTGACAACAAAATATAGAATTTTAATATGTTGTGGTTCTGCATACTTAAAATACTGCTGTGTTTCCTTGGAATGTTATAGGGAGTAAATTCCATTTATGTAATGACTTGGACACTAACTTATTTTACAAGTGATAGTTAAGTAAACATTATTCTCCATTGTCAATGTTGCTATAGTACATTATACTATTCAGTACATGTTGACCAGTCTATCTTTGTTAAAGTAAAACTAATTTGCCAGAGTGATCGTGCTTAAAGCATTATGCTAAATCTTATTCTAAAGGTCCAGTTTAACACTGATGGTGAGTGAAGAATACCCAAGAACATAAAGAGGTTCCAAACAAGAGGAGTTCATTCATCCCCTCTAGGCTTTTTAATGGCTTGTAACTAAATGATCCAAGGATCACATCCAACCATTGCTTGAATGATGCCAGTGTGTCAGCTTCAACACATTGCTGGGTGTCTTGTGTCTTCTGCTTTGTGTTTCATAGCATAGCATTTGATCATATTTTGATCAAATGCTATTGATTTCCTGCATAATTGTTGTGCTAAAGCACATTCTTAGATTTCCCTTAAAGGGTTTGTCTTATATTTGAAGCAAGGAAAAGGTAATGTTTTAGTCATCTTCAGATATTTCACATTTTCTGCTACAAAGTGAAAATTGGCAAAGCCAGTAATAATAACAACTGTTTCCCTCTATTAACTCTGTCTTCCATTTTTATCAAGATTCTCTTATGCCAGAGCTTGACTATTTCATTGAAATCAAGGCCATGACAGTCTATTTACAAAATCTGTGGCCTTTTAATCCCTTGCCTAAGCTACATTAAGTCATGGAGGAAATTGAAGTGCATAGCCTTTTTATTTGGATGCAGATTTCATTAGCTGTCACTGAGGGCCACTACTCTTTCCAGAGATTCCTTTCTTTCCATGGGACATCTGAACACAAAATCACATGGCTGAGATAGTAATTAGACTCGCGCAGCTAATCCACAGTGCATTCTGCATGCAGTGGTAAAAGCAGTCCACGTGGAATCTGGTTTCCAGAATAGATTAAAGGACTTCCTCTGATCCTGAATTAATAATTAACCACCAGATCATGATGTATTGATTCAGTTCTGATGAGCATATTGTCAAATCGTAGTGGTTTGGAGACAGTTGTCACTAGCATGTCACAGCACTGCAACTTGGTTGAAATAATATACGTCCTATTGCTTTTAATGCATGAGGGTTGTGCTCCACACAGGCCTCAGTTGACTGACAGTAAAGCTTTAGAGATGAATTGCATTTAAATTATGCACTTTTTTACAATCTAACTGCATCACAAACTATTGGAACAATATACAACCGTTGGCATTTGGTAGTGCATGTGTAATAAGTAAATTAAATAAGTGGTTGTGATTCTTTTTTTTTTCTTTCTCTTTTCCAGTGTGAATATAACCTGGAGATAATTGCCTTATTCTATGAAAATGCACTTCTCTATTCTAAGGATAATGAGTCGCATAAAGAAAAGCTCAAACAGAGGTGAGTGTCCGATAGCAAAGTGTGTCTTTAACAACTTGTGCTGGCTTCCATGGAAACTATTATTATTATTATTATTATTATTTAGTTTTGTAACCATCAGTAATGAGTTTCCCAAATAAGCAAAATCATCAACTATTCAGAAGGTGTTAATATTGCATGTGTTGGTGGTGCTGGGTGCTGTAGAGCAGTATGGTTGGCAGATCAATGAGTTCAAAGATGGGCTAACATAGTGAAGAAGATAGCATTTCACAGGCATCTCATAATGTTAGGCCATCAGTGAAGAACACCTAATCACTTTCTCCTAAGACAGCATAAAATCACAGAACACAAGTTGTAAGATGCGGTTACATTCACTAACTAACTCTTTTACAGACCCCTTTATTTGTATGCTGTGAGGGAAACATCACCTGAGTACTGTGCAACAGCTTAACAGCTGACCAGTTCTTCAATACCCAGAAATGTCAATGAAAATCCCTGTAGTTGTGATTTAAGGTTAACAATTCCTAACCTTACCTCAGCTGAGCAGGGCAGATAAACATTAGAATCTCAGGAGGTGACATGTAACAGTCATTCTTGCCATCTTAAATCATCCCTTTAAGTACCTTGTGAAAACAAAAGGTATCAATTACCCATGACCTCACAGCCTCTTTGTTTATTTGGGGGGTCCCTGGAGGATCTCGCTCAGCAACTCCAAACAAAGAAGGTCTAGAGGGGCTTTCTGCTCGATTACCCACCGTTCATCTCTCTGCTCAGTGCTGTACTCACTCACACACGTCCTTGTCAGAGGTTTGAGTTATGAAACCTTCTCTGTACCGCATCAAGGTTAATATGATTTTTGAAATGCAACATTGCAAGTTATTTTTTATTTTACCAGCTTGAATTTTTGGGGAAATGCAGTTGTGTGTTTCTCACAATTTTCCCTGCTCATGGCCACACACCCCATGGCCTCACAGAGGAGACGATGAGGAAGTAGAAGCTGACATCTTCAACCTGCCCACCTTTGAGCCACTCCTATTTCAACACCAGAGGTCTGTGCTGATTACAGGAGAGGCGCATCCCTCACTGACTGCACTGCAGACCTTCTAGGGTCCAGGAGCCCCCAGAGGGTGCTTTATTTGCCAAGAGCCAAGAGTAGTTTAGTAGAGTATTCCCACACTACAGTACCTTTTTGAGCCGCTCAACCAATTATATGCCTGTGCCAAGGGAATTTATGGCACAGTCAGATAGTGATATAACCCAGGCTCGTACCTGCAACACCTGCAGCAAACAACCTAAACTCGGGAAAATGCCTTTACTAGTTGAGCCAATTTAGAGGTCATAATAATAATCATCAGCAGCAGGAACAGAAGTGGCAGCAATGTTCTTATTATTATGTTATTTGAAATGTACTGGTTAAAAACATGGATACAGAGTAAGACATTGTAATAGATTTTGATGAAAGACATGATGAAATGGTGAAAGGTAACTGATTTAAAGTAAAGTACACTGTAATTCAAAATCCATAAAAACACATTTAACCAGATTTATTGTAACACAACTCTTAACTGGGACGGAGCGGTTGCTCTGTGGCTAAGGATCTTTCCCTGTGGCTGGAAGGTTGCCGGTTCAAATCCTGCGGCCGGCAGAGGAATCCTACTCCGTTGGGCACCTGAGCAAGGCCCTTAACCCCAACTGCTCCAGGGGCGCTGTACAATGGCAGACCCTGCGCTCTGAACCCAAGCTTCTCTCCCTGTCTGTGTGTCTCATGGAGAGCAAGCTGGGGTATGCAAAAAGACAAATTCCTAATGCAAGAAATTGTATAGGGTTAATAAAGTGATGTTATAAGTACGAAGTTATAAGTTATATCTACTTAGTAGATAAAGACCCAGACTCTAATTGCATGTGGTGGAACGTTGAAAAGCTTGGGTTCATAGCTGCCTCAGGGCTGATGATTTATTTTAGTGGCAGCAAATAAGCCAGTGTCACTAAACTGAAGGTGCCATGATGGAAAATGGGTGCTAACTAGACTTTTAACATGGGGGGAGGGGGGTATTATTCAAGACCTTCAAGGTCATTACAATAATTTCAAACTCAACTCTAAACATCAAAGGCAGTGAGTGAAAGCAGCATTTAACAGACCTACTATGGCTACAATTAGATTTGGCTTAAGGGGGCAGAAAGAACTGAGGTTGGGCAATACTGCCCAGGTGTGTAAGGCAGAAAAGGCATCCATTGAACACAAAAATATGTATTTCTATTTACAAACATGACCTGTAGGCTGTGGGAAATGAGTCTGCTACCAGTTTTAACATCCAGTTTTGTTTATGTGTTTCAAATGTCAATTGAGCTCCTGGGTACATAAGGCTACATGCCATTGCTTTAGGAAGCAAGTTCATGTTTTCTCTCCTTAGTGTTTAATTAACATTATGGACAGGGAGCTATGGCTCCTAATTATGGAAGACCTGCCGTATTAAAGTGATCCTCCTTAAGACTAGACTAGGTTTGTGCTTCCAATCCTGTTTAAAGCAGCTCCCCTGGTCATGTGCATCGCAGTGGAGCTGACGATGGAAGAATTTTGAGGATAGCCAGAGAGATTATGCCAGAATTATTTTAAAAAGTAATAAAATATGCAGTAACTTCCATTGGAAGGCCATAATAGCCGTTAGATTTCATTTTAATTCAGACCAGCAAGACTAGTTTGGCACTGTCCACCAGTTTGATTTATGAAAGTTTAGGAAAGGAAAGCCAGACTTACTGCTACCAGCAGGAGAGACTCACTGGCCTTTAACTCAACATTGCTGACATATAGGTTACAGCAGTGAGGAGAAGCAAGTCAGTCCCTCCAAAAGCTGAATGAGATTTAAAACAATATAAAATACACATGAGAACGCATACTATATAGTGCGTTTGTTTTAGCAAAGGCAACAGATTTCAGAGAGTTTTTATGTGCTTACTGTAATTTCTATAGATGCCACATATTTTTGCTATGCATGATTTATGTTTTGAGAATGATCTGTATGATATACTATACTTCATTGTTTTCATAAGCCATTATGCAGTTTTTAATATTGTTTTATAACACCTATTAAAATATGCTATTTTAGTACGTCTGCTTTGTACTTGTGTAGCCTCCCAATAAACAGATTCTTTTATTTTGAGAAATTAAGCATTTAAACTATATATAGTCTGTTTTCCCCAAAGTAATACAGACTTTTTGCCATTGTATTTGATTAGTTCGTTGTACATTAGTTTCATGCCACTGTTATATATATTTCCAATAAAATTGCACACTATAAAGAGTTCAGTTCTCTGATGCTACAGTATATATGTGAATATCAGACTGTAACAAGTTAGAACAAAGAGCACAGATGTGATAATAAATCCAACTTCCAGGACTGGAATTGATGGGGACATAACATTTCCCCTTAAGTTACAATTCTTCATTCCAAGCACAAAGTTATGGAGAAAATACATAGCTGGAAGTCATCACCTGGTGTTATACAGGCTGCTGTGTTTACAGAACTAAAGAATTCTGAGCCCATTTAAGGAAAGTCTACCCTGTAATTACACCTAAAGGACTGCAGACCAGAATAAATATTCCAAAGCATTCCAATAAATGTTTTGATGCGATTCTTTTTCTTATTATGGTAAATCATTGCAAATAGAGTAAAATACCTCACAAACATTCGGTTATCGTAACAGCAAGAATTGATTAAATTAAGGAAAACATCAGGATTACATCTTAAACTTTATTTATTTGATGTCAGGTTCTTTGGTCATATTACTGTTACGTACAAGTGATGAAACATACAGCTCAATAAAATGTTTGTTTTTCATTAGTTTGTATTTCTTATTATATATTAAATTTCATATGATCTCAAAACATGACCTTTTGAAAAATCTTGATCTGTTATTAAACCTTTATACCACACTGTATGCCTTTAGGACATTGAAGCTTGTAGTATCACTTTCTACTCAATTAAAACTGTATCTTGCAAGAGTTGTGTCAGCCTATTGTGTCCAAGAATTTTTAATCACAAGATCACTGTTATCAGATTCAGTGACAGTTTATCAAATCTGACTGGTTGTAGGGGAATTATAAGTCATTGATGTAATTTGAGGGGTTTTCAGTAAAGCCCTGTAATCTTTTAAAAAATCATGTTGTAATCCCCCCAAGAAAACACCTAGGCTGCCATCATCCAATTGTTGTCTTGTGAACTAGTATTTTCAGTGGCTTACAAGTATTTAAGTTTCTGAAATGGAGCTTTTTCTATTCTTGATTAATTATATGCATAGTAAAGCTATATCCAGGACTACCAAAAATATATCAGATATTTATATTAAGTTTGACTTTTTGTTTCTGGAAACATCTAACCATTAGAATATGTTTGTAAAGAGACAAGCTCATGTGAAACTGAACAGAGAAACCAATCATCCAAGGGAATTAATGCAACCCAGTTGTCTTTGGATCAAGATATTATGTCATGTTTTATAACCAGGGGCATCGTTATCCTTTGCAGTGTACCATATGGTAAGAGTGGAAATTCCCTTTGGTTCGGAAACACCGAAAGACTTGAATCCAACCCCCGGCTGAAAGTGGGTTATCAGTACTGCCCTTCACAAGCCAGGGGATTTCCCCATTCCCTTTTTCAGTAAATGTCAACTGGAGACAGTGGGTTGTGGGTTAGTGGGTTAGTGTCTGGCCCTGCCTCTCACACTGTTTCTGTTCCTGCTTTCCCAACCTTCGTTCTGACCACACTGCTGTAAGACTTTAAAAGAAAGGAGCAAAGCACAGGGAGGATATCAGGAAGGCGGCTTTTTTGTTACAAAAACATCCTGCCCATGCCCCTCCCCCCCACTGTTTCCCTTCTTTCTGTGTTTCTCCGTCTTCAGCCACACAGCCCATTTCCTCAGAGTTTAGAGCAAAACATCCTCTAGGGACCAGACCCCTTTTTGGAGCTGACACAAGAGAGGTGTGAAGGCAAGAAAAATCATTTGAAAAATGCCTTCTCAAACAGCTACACCCTGAACTGCTTCATTGGTGAAACAAGAGGCCTTGTTTATTGATCCATGTGCATGTGTGTGATTCGTTACGGTTTTTGTTATGGAGCAATATCGAAACAGGGGCTTTATTGCCTCAACCTGGAGATATTTCTTCTCCTAAATCAAGAGAAATGTTGTACACATTAATTCAAAAAATAATTCCAGAGATTGTCCTGCCAAAACAATTCTTGGACAGAGGTGTTAAGAGTTCTGCCTCAGTGTTGTTACTCAGTGAAGAATTTCAAAACAAAAAAAAACGTATTTAGTCAAATAAAAATGTATTTGACATTTTTTCAGTTTGCCCCTTCAAAAATCAAACTTATTTCACTAAATTATCACACATTTCATATAATTAAGTGATTATGAAAATTAATTAGAATACAGATTTCTGTATTTTCTGTTGACATTTACATCAAATTTTGTTATGTAAGCCACCAATCTAAAAGAGCTTTTATAAATTGTATTTCTGTGTCTGCAGAGTGTCTGATGTTGTGAGGAAGGTCTTCAAGAACGGGATTCCTCATCATCAGCAGGTGCTGGTGCTGTATGCTGACTTTGCTGAAGACAATGCAAGTCAAGAAGTTCCACCCATACGGTACCAATTCAGATGATTCACATTTAAACATTCTGGCATCTGAGGAGTAGCTACATAGAACTGGGGGTGTACACAGCCAAGAATCTATTCTTTTTATCTTATTAAGGGTTTGAATCAAGAAAATGCATCTAAAGCTTATTTCTGAAGCTTCAATGTTTAGCCTAATTTTGAGGTTGTTATTAATCTGTGCTACTGTACCTTGCAAAGCTTTTTGACTTTCCTGAGTCATGTCTTGTTAAATCACTGTATTACATGGAACTTAAAACAAATTGTAGTTTGATGTCACTGCTTCTGATATAATGCTGTGTGATTTTTGTATAACATGAGTTATTGAAGTTTGCCAATGTAAAATCTAATTAAATGTTCAGAGCATTGAATATAGTTTTCTCCATTGATTTCTAGCTTGATTTCAGATGCACACTCATATGCCTTCATGTTTTCCTCCCCCCACTAAGGAGTATTACACGGGTGCCCTGATTCCTGTTTAGCCACTTTTGAAAATCATGCCCTGGATCTCAAAGGGGTGTCTTTGTAATTCACAGTTTATCCTGTTTAACTGCAGCCTGACAGGAAGTGGCCCAGGTTCAGTAAAGAGCAGCTTCAGGATCACCCAGTGAAAATACAGTATCCGATTCATTACTGTTCCCTTCTCCTGAGCAGCTCTTTTAGACTTTCATATGCTTTCTCCTGAATTACTGTATCACAGATTTTTGTTCATGTTTTCGAGCTCCAGAGATTTTTTACATATTATAATTGTGACCACAAATAATCGTTATTAATTGAAATTACTGCTCTTTATCTTCCACACTAGCCTGGAAGGGTGTTATTTCTTGAAAAGAATTTTAATATCTGCTTGTGAAAGTCTTCCCGAGATTAGAACATATGTAATAAGCGGTCCATGGCGAGTTTAATTCTTTAACAATAAGTTATTTTTGGTAATGTATACTAAACTAAACCTTTAATAGTGATGACTGGACTAAACCTGTAAGAATAAACAGGATGACATTCTGTATCGCATGCCGAAAAGCAAGGGTAGTTTCATGCACTGCACAAAATGAACTCCACTCTTGTAAGTATGATTCTTTGCTGTTCACGTCCGACTTGAATTTGATCTGTTGTTATTAAGATTGTCTGCTGTCTTCAAGCACTGATGGTGTGGTCAAAAATGTTTTCATTTTTTGGCTACAAATTGAAATGCTAGTTCTGTCATAAAAATGTTTGCAAAATCCGTTTGCATGGTGATACACAAGCCTATCTCACCTGTAAAAATTCCTAATAGTAATATGGGGAATTTATTTTAAAACCTAGACCTTGTATTGGAATCTCCCAAATAAGGTTGCCGGACTGGTGAAGTGTGAGAAGAGTTTAAAAGTTTAATGAAGGGAGACAGTGGAATTTTCTCAATAAACACAAGCTACCCTTCAGGTTTATAGTGGCTGGGATTCAAACAAAGCAAGATTCACTACTACAAGTGATGAATCATAAACCTGAATTCCCTGAAGCTGAAATAATGCATATGTTAAAGGAGAAAGTTACCAGTACTCCTTGCTTTCTTCCGTGTTCAGAGATTTTTGCCAAAATTCCAAAACAAATTTTGACCCCAAAATAATAAACCGATTTGGACAGATTTGGTGGTTTTCGCATTGTGACTCTCACACTCCATCCAGTAGGGATTGACAAAGCTAAATGAAACGAAATGATTTTTAGTGAGCTTCACGGCTAATAAACCAAGAGCCTGAGTAAACGCTGGAAGGGGTTTTGCAATTCACCATCTGGACACAGCTGGTTCATTTGCTGGAGTGGTCACAAGAGAAATATAGGGCTGTGCTAATCAAACACATGTTTGTCTCATGGCAGGCTCTGTGTGTATAGCTGCCTTTGTACTCTTTTACAATTAATCGTCCAGTAACATTCTTTCTGCTTGAACTTACTTATGCTCCAACATGACGCAAAAACATCTGCGTTTTCTGTTTTTGCTTCAACACTCCATGACTGCCATCATACAATTAATAGGTTTGGTCTTTATGAAAAAATAATTTTAAATGTACTGGCTTATACTTTTACATGCAGGATATTGATCATTTTTCATACAGATGCTATATTATTATAGCAATAACGTGCAATGTGCAATAAATACCAATTGACTGTGACCAGCATTCTCCAATTGATAAGAGCAGAACTGGCTCTGGGTTGCCATGACAGAGCTGGGAATTGTCAGAAAGGACTCACTCTCTTTGTTCTCCTCCTCCTTTCATTTGAACTTCCCAGGTGAATATAAAATAACTATAAAAAGTTTATGTAGAACATGAGAGTATGCTGTGACAATAATGTCACTTTTGTACCACTCGGGTTGTATTGTACAATTGCTAACTGATATGATAAGAGAATGAAGTAAGAATATATGCAGTGATGTTTCCCAGTACCAACAGAGAGTAACTTTAGGTGCTATAGTTGTATGTCAGCCTGTGCAATTATACATAGCTTGTGTGACTGCCCGTCATCCGAGACTGAAAGTTCTCAAAATTGGTGCACAGTGTTGACAGTCTTGTTCCACATAGACTGAGGCATAAAAATAACCTTTTAAATTATTCATCGGTCCCTTTGCTTTTGTTATTAGTTTTTATGTTAAATTATTTATTGATGTTTCTTATCCAGCTGTTCATCATCTTATAATAGGTTTAACGAGTGACCTAATTTCATATTCAAATATGTTTTCACAGAAATATCGTTTATTTGTCCGGTTAAAACCTGTTGACTTTCCTTTTCCACAAAAATCCAAGTAAAACATCAATTTGATCCTTAACACTTTTTTGACAAGTTGTCGAGAATAAGTCTCATACTCTCAATATGTTCTCAATATCTCTAAATTATAATTGGAATCAGGTGCCTACAGCAGGACATGTATCCAAAGTTCATATTTGTTTTATCTATTCCTTTTGAATTTCAGCTTTTCTCCAAGGGTTTTACAAGTATTTGTGTTCAAATGAAAAAAGTAAATGAGGGTGTTTTTCCACATTTTACACAGAATATAGACTACAAGTTTACACACAGGAAACTATTAGCATTTTTTATCAAAATAATGTTTAGTTTGTCATATGAAATTAGACTTGACCATTTTATGTTCAAAGTGTCATTTCAATGTATTGCACAAACACTGCAGAGGACTGTCATTTGTTTCTTTGTATTAAAGAACCTTTGGGTTTTGTACATGAGTTAGGAACACATGTAAAAACTGCTATTCTTATCAATTTAAAAGATGGACCAGGAAACAGTACTCTCTGCATATGATAGCTACACACTCAAAGCTTACTCTTTATTTGTTCAAGTTGCCAGCCTACTAGTCATAAATTGTTAGCCATTTTTCTTCTTTTCCATTTCAATGGAACAATTCTTAATATATTTTAAACTGAAGCGCAAGAACAAGTACACCTCCTCCAGTAAAAAAAAAAGGCATTTCATTAAAAAAATGTTGGGCTTTATTATGGGCACAAGTGAGACATAACAAAAGAGGCATAAAAAATGTTGTAGAAAACATGTGCTAAGCAAGTGGTGAATCCCAAGCTCCTGAGTCTGTTAGATATACCCAATAATGTCATTGCAGATGATAGGCTGTCGGCTGCCAGTTTTCATTAATGCAGTGAACTGGTAGAAGTCTGTTCCCAGTTCATGAAGACCTGTGTGTGACTGGTGAAAGTAGGGCACTCTGGCTTGGAAACCTACAGGACAAGATAGACGCTTTGGTGCTCCAGTCCTGTTGGCCCGTGTGCCATCCACAGATTTGCCCCGTCCATCTGTGCCTTTTGACATTCCAGTCAGTTTGCGCCGCATGTTGAGCAAGAAGTCTTTGGCCAAACGTCGCCCTGGGTTTGGCTTCAGTTCTGCCGGATCTGGGCACTCCGGTAGGTCCATCCAGTTCTCAATCAAGTCAGCAAAGCTGTTGTCTCCCAGGACCAAGGGTTGCCGATTGCGTCCCCTCGTCAACAGGGAGGTGGTCCAGTCCTCTGGGTCGCTGGCCTCAAATGAAGTCCAGCGCTCAAGGCAAGCGTCGGAAGTGGATTTGGGCCTCACGCGTCCACTCGGAGCCCGGTTGGTACGGACGCACGCCGCTGACGACACTCTGACATTCCTGCTCCTCCGGAGAACCACCACCTCATCCTGCCAGGAGGCCTCGGAGTAGCCAGAGTCAAACTCCAGGCTCTTCTCGCTGCTGGGAGACCCTACCGCCAGTCGGCTGCCGGAGTCCTCCTCAACCGAGCTGGCCAGGCAGCAGGCGGAGTCGTAGGTGCTGGATTCCAACCCCTCGGAGATGCGCAAGCGGGCCAGCCGCTCCCTCTGGAGCACCCTCTTCTGGCAGCCCCTGGTGGCGGCCGGCGTGGGCCGGCTGGAGGCCTGGCACCCTCCTCTCATCTGCTTCAGGTCCTGCAGGGTCTTCATCACGCACTGCATCTGCTCCCGCAGGCAGTCCCCCGGCTCGCGCAAGCACAGCTGAGGAGGAAAAGAAGAGGAAGAGCAGGTCAGTCTCAGTCACTCACACAGGCCTCAGCGCAAGAAACTCTGTGAGTCAAGGAAGCAACCCTACCATTGTCTTTCAGATGAATCCCCCAAATAACTGCTAAACATCTCATCAGATAATGAGAGTGGTTGCTGTCTATACCTCACCCATCTGCCCTTTGTTTTAAATTCGATGCAAATGGCTTTACATTTTGAAAAGTATTAACTCTGGTGGGGAGCAGTGTTATTTTTCTTTCATTTCCTTTGACTCATCACTGCAGAGTGTTCCTTTCCTCTCTGGCCACTCTGTTTGTGACCATGTATCACTTGGCATAGCCAGTCCCGGCGATAGATGCTAGAGCTTAGAGCGGAAGGCAAAACTTCCTTTCTCTGACAAGGGTCACCCTTTTTTTTTCCCTTTTCCTCTTTCACTTTGTGATTTCCTGACTTTTTTAATTCGAATATCAACTCACAAAACACTATAATCTACTCAATATCATAAGGCATCTCACGTATAAAGTTATACTGTCTTAATAATTTAACTGCAGGAAGTTCTTGAAAGGAACTATCTTTGAAGCATGTAATTATGTATTTCTGCACAATTAATTGCCAGAAAATAAGAAAGAATATGTAGCTACTTTGATGTCGGGTTCAGACCAGAGCCAAATACTGCTTGAGTGACAATTAAAATCCACTTTATTTCCCTCTTCTCCAGTGGAACAAGGTTTTTAAGTGTGTCATTTGCATACGTGTTCACCGGTTCAGCTTAAAGCCCAGTCCTTGCCTCTCCCCAGCTCCCTGGACAGGCACAGACTTGCACTGAGATTCTGTGGCAGCCTGGGAGTTTCGATTGCCTTCCACAGCAGCACCCTCACTCCTATCCTGGGAGAACCGTCAGGCTGTGCCTTAAAGACAAGCCTTGCCCTCTGAGGGCCAGAGACCTGATTGAAGGCTCTGCTTCACACATCTACTGACTGTCCCTTTCACTAGCTGTCCCGTGGGACTGTCAACTGCAAAACATTTCCCTCTGCTCTCTCAGCTCTGCTCTATTTTTTTAAATGTTTGGAAACAAACACTTTAATAGGAAAAGAATGATTAAAAAAAACATCTATAAAATGACATTCAGCTACTAAAAAAACAACATCTCTTGGCAATATCACTTTTAGAGGTATTATTATTTATTTATAAGTTTATCAAAATAGTCAAATTAATATTATATATACTTTTCTAAATAACAAAAACAGAAGGGAGAAGTGATGTGGAAATGCGAGACAATCCAAAACAGTCCAAATAAAATGTTTACAAAGACCTCTTAAATCCCACTAGGTTGTAATCATTTGCAGACATTGTTCTTATAGAAAGTAAGACTTATTTACATTTTGTTAGTGCAAAACTGCAATAATGTGGTCAGATAGTTTTACTGTACATCAATGTTCCATTTTTTCATGTGCTCTCCACCCAATTTTTGCCTGCTTTTTGTTGTTTTCAGAATTTTGTTTTGATGTTTGTTCCATTTGAAAAGAAGACCAACTGTTATAACACCACTGGCCTGATTGGTTTTGAAATGCGCATGGATACAGCTTTGTCTTGTGTGATCCAAAGCGTGTTAGTGGGACAGAACTAAGGTGGCCTGTGTGTTTTTAAGAAGAGAAAACTCATGGCTGAGTAACAGCACTAAAACCCACAGGAGTAGGAGAAGTCATTTCCTTGAAACTGAGTCACAGGAACTTCAGATTGGCCAAAACAGACTAGTGGCAACTTAGAAGCATTCATACCATGCAACAGCTGGTTTTGAACTTAAACAGCTAATTACATTTAGTAAAATCTACTAACTTTTTCCTCCACCTAAGAGGCAAAAGTAATTGATTATTTTCACTACCTGGAATACTGTCAACGTGAGAGATGTCACCCCTGTTACTAACATAAATATACTGTATCTTGGCAAGCTTCATATGTTAAAAAGGAGGTTTTTAAAGTAAGTGAAATATATCATGAAACAGCATTGAGTGTTAAGAACACTACATAAATGCACTTAAATTGCTTATATGTCCTTTGGTCAAATGAAATCTTAATATGGATATTGCACAGGACATTTCCTTATCTTTTTTACAAAGACTTAGACTGATACTTAGTGTAATTATCACTGGTCAGTGTTCAAACATGGGATTTCCCAATATTTCTGAGCACTAAAATCATTAAATATAGACTTTTTTACATTTCACATTGTTCACCCTAACCAGGGAATGAACAGTAGATAGAAAATGGATGTATGGACATTTGTCACATCAATTTAGGATTATATTGTAATTGAACTAATAATTGTAACTAGTGAACTTTACTTTTTGAGCATAACAGATTATTTCTGTGGCTTTCACAACTGTATAACACATCCCTAGTTCATAGTCCTACAGGCTAAACAGTGCTTATTTGGAGTAGCTATGTTATCACAGCTGTGGAAAGTTAGCTCTTTGGCTCCAAAACAGGATCCTTGAGTGTGAGATGTATGGGGCTGGGTAAGGAGAAAGAAGGAAAGAGAACATGCTCTTTTTAATACTTCTTTCAGCACTTTATTTAAATACCACTTCTTTTAGGATTTCATTAAAAAATGTACTGAATTATTTTACCATAGCAAAAATTCCAAGATTGCTCAATGCCATTTTTACTAACAGTGTAAAGATAACAACTCTGAACAAAGCTGTGTTCTGGAGTGCATCTTGAAAAAATTAAAGAGAGCAGCTCTTGTACGTTTTTGGTTGGTCCTCTGCTTCCAATTGTCTTTATTAGTAAACAGTCCATCACAGCTGAAACCTAAACACACCTGAGGTATTTTGTGAAGAACGTGAACTATGCACACTGAAGAACTACTTTTTTCACCCTTCTGTTTAGGTTTTAAAAGAACAATGTAAAGGAACGTTACATCCCAAAGGGAAAGCAAAGAGCTAGTAAACGCTATTTCTGCTTACGAATTGCAGCAAATTATCTGATCGCTTTATTGCCTAAGAATAAAGCATTGCCCAGAATAATTATCGTGGTTTCGTTTACTGACACATAAGTTAAATCAGTTCAAAAGCAGACGTAAAGCAATTAACCAATAAAAACTTTAAAAAATGTTAAACAAATGTAGTAGGACGCTGTCTGACCTGTAACAATACCTTGGCAGGTCTACCAACCTGAATACAAAGCCAACAGTTATGAGAAACAAGAATATCTCCAAATGACTCGTCCAGTATCACTCCATTCCAAGTTCCCAAACGGCAAAATACAGGGAATTGTTTCACAAAGAAGTTCAAGTCCCTCAACATCCGCCTAGTATAGTAGATTTCCTGTAATCTGTAGTACACGTTTACAAGAATCTACATTTATAAAACCGCCGCAAACCGCAGAAAATGACCAACAGTATGAAAAGATAAACTACAGTATTCGCAGAAATGATACCACTGAGTTATGCGGTGCTATCAAATGCTATAACTCTTAAAACAATGTGCACATTTAATCTCTTAATAAACCATCTTATAAATATAACGCTGCATTGTGGTAACGTTTTTCCGTAAATTTGTCTAGAGGCCTTTCCCAATTATTTATTTTTCGTCGCCCTCTTGAGAACCTCGCGGCTTTTAAATAAAAAGCCACCATTTGGTTGCGTTTTCACGAGCACATGGCATAGAAAAACATCACACCAAGGGCTAGATCAGTTCTACTGTGGCAAAGTCAATAAAAGATTAAACGTTTCCCAATCCACAGTCTATTGGCTTTCTACACATCTGCATTGGATTGCAGCATAGCTTTCCTATAAGAAAAACGTTTTGCCACTCATACTTCAATAAACACATTTACTGATTAGATTTTAAAATTGTACCTCGGTTTTCATACCTTTTCAAGTTATCATTTTAAGCTTTTAGTGAGTCTTTGGTATAGTGGCTTTTTAATGGGGTTTACAGTATTGCACAGTATAGTACAGTAGATACAAATACTATTATCTATTTGTGCGTTAAGAACGTTATGGAAAAGGTGTTATAAGCCTAGCTGTATCTCTTAAAGCAAAGTACCATACCACTTTACCATAGCTCGTCAAATATGATTTACCGCAAGACCCTACTGCTAATATGTGCTAATTAAGGTGCTTTTTTCAAAGATAACCCATACTTCCTTGCATTGCCTGCATGTTCTGCAGTCTCCGAGAATGGTAACATATAGTTTCTCAAATAACTATAGCATGGTGGTTATCTGATACATGTCCCACACAAACTGACAGTTCTCAAACGTCTCTTAGTCATGCTTTCGGTGATCCAGCATCGTAACGTTATTATGATTATTCTAACTCCCATTAAAGTCAAAAGGCATTGCATGTATCGATGTTGTTTTTCACAGTAAATATAATCCAATTTTAAAATTAGTTTTAAAACTCACCATTTCCTTTTTAGTTAACAGCAGCCAGTTACAGCTAACCAGTTTTCCTGAAAGAAAGAAAAGGATGTTTAATCGCTGACCGTACAGAAATGAACCCAATTAGAATATTTACCGATTATATATAAGGAATTGTGTATATAGAAATGGAAATGTATATATATATAGAAACTTACATTGGTATGTGATTCGTTTCCAGATGCGTACGCGTAGTCCTTAATGCGCTCTACAAGTACACATGTATCTGCAGACGTTTCAGTACTCCTTTCAACCTTTAAAGCATTATAATGCAGGTCTAAATCTCCCTCAGCGTTTTTGTCCAATCTGTCCCCATTTCAGCGTGGGACTCTCCACCAATAGGAAACGTGCATCACCCTCTCAGCCAATACCCGCGCTCCTGAAATCCGAGACAATGTGGAGCACGGTTTTACCTCGCCAAGGTGTACCCCAACTAGCAGATTATCAGGCAACACCTTCGTGAGGGGGTTACCCACAGGGGCTCAACACAGGAGCAGCCAGGTGCCGAGATGGTATTGTTCAGTGGATATCTGGCAGTTTAGAAAAATAAATAGGGCGATATGGAACACGTAATGAATTGTTGGTTTTTTTCCTGCTGTCACTCGGTCTCTAAGTAGATGGCTAGCACGTTTCAACATCTCCCCGAAAACTACCTGGGGTGAATTCTATGTACAGTAAGAACACAATTCAATAAGCTACACAAACCCCTTCAGCATGGCATTCCTTTCTAAAATGGTTTGAACATGCTGTTACTAAAGCCCAAATAATTTACATGGAATAGCGGATAGTGAATAACTGTTTTTATAACCCACAGAGACTACAAATATGAACTAAAGTTGGTCAATCCATCCGTGTTTTTATTTGCAGTAATATGAGCTTGTTTTGCAGCAGTGTGATATATGCTCAGCTTTCCTAATGAACCATGCGCCAATGTCAGGATCAAAATAAGTTAATATTATTAAATTAATCTTTTAACCATCTCGAGATCTTTCCTGAGTGAACAGATGCACTGTTAATGTATTTACTCTATGTAAAATTGAAGGCATTTTTTCAGATATGCTATATTCAATTTGATTTTGATAAGAACGTATGAAAACTGCTAAGGAAATTCTTGCAAGAATTAAGTATAATACGTACGATTTACATCTGAAAGTTCTGACTTGCTTTTGTCTTCCGAAAACATTTTCTGCTTTACTAAATGCGCATGTTTATTCTACAAACATCACCTATTAAACCGTGTTTTGAAAACTTGTTTCACTTTAAAATAATACATGCTTAAATCGATGTGCTTCGTTTCTAGACAATGAAGTGACGTGACTGGGGTATCCCAATGTTTTAGATTTATATAAGCTCGCATAACAGTCTGTAAACATAATATCAGTTCTTATAATGGAAAGCACGCATGCTTTATGTATTAATCCTACATTAGGGGTTAGATTTAATATTTTATTAGCTTATCCCGTGCTGTGTTTAGATATACTGTGAACGTTTTTTTAAATCATAGCTACATGTACAGTTACGCCTTGTTATAAGGGTTGTACAGTACATAAGAGAATAAACCTATCAACTCAAAAACGAACATTTTGTTGATCGCTGACAAGAAGAAAAGGACATACAGTGTGTAGCCTATGAGATAAGATGCTACTGAAAACATCTTCATAGCACTTTCACCATTATCTACAGTACGTACAGTATAATTAAGAGAACACCCATACTGATCTGTATTGCAAAGTGCGCCAGTTGCTGATTTCTGAGTTTCTGGAATATTATAGTATGCATTTTGTCGTGTGATAGCCAGTTCATGTCAAGCAGTGCCCAGATACTGTATTTCTTGAAACATATTTCTCGTATTGGATTCAGCGGTTATTGATAATGCACGGATAGATATTCTAAGCAAAACAGCCACTAATGATTGGGTAGTTGACCGCGATTCTAACACGATAATAACTAATAATAAATTATATCGCTGTAAAAGCAAACCTTGATGGGATAAATATTATATTTTTTTTCAATATGTAGAGACATATTTTACTTGTTTAGGGGATTTGTAAAATAGCTGATTAGAGCACATATAAGTTTTTAAAGGTAATTTTCCCCATCACAAAATGGTCTACGTTTTGCATGAATATATTAGACTAACGTGACATCTACTTTAAGGGGGTATATTAAATTATGCATTCGTAAGCCGTATGTAGATATTATATTATATTGTATTTAATCAACATTCTGTGAAAGACATTTTATCTAAAGTGAAACTGCAGCGTTCTCCAATTTAGGTCCGTTCCTTAAAATCAAATTTCTCTTCTTCGCTCTTTGCGCCTTTCTCAAGCACAGTGGACTACCCCCATCTAGCGTCTGATTTTAAACGCAGAGGCAGTGTAAATACACCACAGGCTTCATTCTTGGGTATCAGCAGCTACGCGGATGTAAAATGGTGTGAAAACTCATCAGTGCTACATTCCCGTAAACATTCCGAACATTCTCGCGTTCATCGCTGTTTTACAATGTAAATAAGACTGTTAACAAGCAGTTACCTTATGCAAAGATGTCAGCCTGGCCTTAGGAATGTTACACAAATTGTGAACAGCTGTTTTATAGAATACGATAAGCATAACAGCTACTCGTAGATCCTTGAAGAGAGTATTCCACGTGCAGTTTCTCAGAGCGTAGTACTGTGTGATGTCATTTGCTAAGAAAAATCATTCTTCTTTCTTGATTTCAGTCTGTATTTAGAGTCTAAATAGTTCCTTCAAGTTAACTCTTGATACACAATTTTGGGCTATTATAAGAGACGCCATTCATTAAAAACGTTAAGAAGTTTTCAGTCTTATTAATATACAAGCGAATAATGTTCTTTCGTGTTGCATAGTCTAATGACGGATCGACGACGTATCTGTTTTTAAATGGACCTTGTTTGAATCTGATAATGCGTCCACGTTTAGCGATTAGTAGCATATCTGTTGCAACAATGAAGTAGAAATGGTACTGCTTGCAATATTAGATTTTGTTAAAGACGCAAAGAAAATACTGTATTATTATATTTAAAAAATAAGTGTTGTTTGTATCAACATTAATAATAAAACAGTAACTGTAAGTAGTAATAACAATAATATTATGGTTAAGAATAAGTCGATAATATTGTTTGCTTACAACAATAATATAATTAAATTTTAAATAATAGCGATAATAATATTGTTCTTGAGAATAACAACTAACCACCACAATAACAGCTGCGGACTTTGCCTTTTCACTGTGTTAATACTGCCCTCTAGTAGCTTTACTTGGAACGGGTGGGAATAAAGGGATTTTCAAGGTCACTAAGAAAAATCAATATGATTTTGGCATCATGCTTCTCAAAGGAACCACATCGACCTCCTGACTTAAAAATAAACAAAGTGTTTATTACTGCATATTAGGTTGTACTTAATAATGATGTGAATAAAAGATGTGTTAACATTTCTACATCAATAACAGATTGTGACAACGCTTCAAAGATATTGTTGATGTGTGGTAAATATTCCAGGACCGTTTCTGAAAGAGAAAATGTTACAGAATAAATTATGGCAATAAATATACAAACACAAAGATTTAAATAATTTTCAGAAAGAATGTGGAAAAAAATGTCTTTGAATGCACCTTGGGCTACAGAGCTATCTTCCACCAATTACTTATCTGAGTTTATTCCCTGATGCATGCCATCATAGTGTGAGCTGCCTCATCTGGTTGCAATCCCAACTCAAAATGATAAAATACAGCGGACAACGTCATCAGAAAGCTGTAAACTAGGCAAGACCAGGCAGATCTAAGTTTATATAACAGTGAATTACAGATCAGTTATGTGTATAGAGAAGGTATGTTTGATCTTCATGGCACTTGGCAACCCTCTGGGCTTACAGCTAAAGACAACAAAATTCTCAGTCTCCAGGACAAGATCAGTAAAAGTGTGTTTGCACCGCTGACTGGATTCTGGACTGAGAGCAATAGAAAAGCTCTAATAAGATGGGTCAGATGTCTTCTTATGGGCTGCTTTTCCCAGCTCTCTTTCATGTCTGTCTGCTTCAAGGTGAGAACGTTGGATTAGCTTTTCCTTTTAGCTCTAACTTTGTTCTTTCTTTTACATTTGTGTCCTAAATTGCATTAACAAGTGTAAATGTTAACAGCTGTATTGTTAAGCTTTTGTCATCATAAAGATTAGGTTGTTTCTCTTTCACCAACAGTGTGACAGCAGTAATACTGTTTGTTATGTTTAGCTAATTAAAATGCCACCACCAAATGTTGTATGATCAGTTTATTTTAAAATACTGTACATCAACGCTGTTGCTTCTTCCTACCTGACCTGGGTTCATTTTTACAAGTTTTCTGCAAAGCAGATAAAACAGACTTGAATTCTGTAAAGTGGTGGAATTATAATTAAAAATAAATAATATATTAAATAATAACACAATATTAATAATACAAATGTTTTATACTGCACCGAGCAATGATAAATTCTGGAACATCATGACATAACGACAGTGTCAGTGTCAGGGATACTCTCAGACATTAGGTCTAAGTAAATTAGCTTCATCATTTAATATGATGAGTTATTTATTGGAAAACAGATAATTCCAAAAAAATCATTTTAATTGCTGTATCATTTACGCTTACCTGTTTTATCCTGTTTTTTGCAGTGTTCCCCCCATTGACATTTGTTATTTGTGCTGGATTGTGTGTGTCAGGATGTGACTATGCCCAGGAAAAAGTTTTATGAAATCCTATGTGCAGGAAAAACGAATGAGTGGCTTTTATACTTTTAAGACATACAGTATAGAGATAATTATTTTAATTTCCACATAGTTTAGCTGTGTCTGCTAGTGTGATCTTGAGTGCTTGCAGATTTTTATTAGCACAGTCATTACCCATTGAAGCAAATATGACACAAGGTGGTTCAAGATGTATACAATAAAATATTACATAAACGTCAGGTGTTGTTTGGCTACCAAGTTATATATTAATGCAGGAGTCATGCAGATATCCATTACTTGACAACAGTCTTATCAGAATTTGTAGTGAATTAGTGGTGCACAGTGAAATTGCAAGTTACCCGGGGTTAGAACTAAAATCTAAATGGAATTCTCTTTAGAATTCATAGGCCTCCAGCCCTCTGTTGACATTATGGAAGACAGTCGTCCCAGGACTCTTGTGCAACAGTTTGGAGTTCGAGTGCTGAGTCCCCCTTTCTCAGTGCAGATCATTTCCGTGACACCGCAGAATGTCTTTGAGGTGCCCATTGTCAATCCAACACTTGACCTTGAAGTATTCAGTGTTGAGGTAAACTATTTCATGGTATGGTCCTTCACTCTTGCTTTCTTTGAGATCTGACACTGTCATGGCAGGAATAAATCAATCTTTCTATTCTTTCTATTCCCCTCAATCAGATCAGACTCAATGCTTCGTTGGACTTTGAGAGAGTCCGCATGTACACTGTGTACCTAAGGGTGGACTCTGCCAATGGTACTGTACAGCAGAGCTTCAATGTGCATGTTACAGATGTCAATGAGCCACCAGTGTGTGACCATTTCTTTCAGTTCCCAGGTACTGAATCTTGTACATGCTGACGTTAATTTGTCTTCTCGCGGTGAAAACACTATTGGATGCAGCTGAAGAAAAGAAAATAACTACAGTAGATACTGTATATTTAGCATTTGCTGCCCAACACAATACCGAGCCGTTCATACATTTTCTAAGGGTCTTGGGGGAGCCAGAGCCTATCCCAAAGACACAAATGAGGATACACTCTAGATAGGATGCCAGTCTATTACAGGTGAAGCACAAACACAAATACACGCACACTTACACCAGGCACAGTATTCCCAGAATCCAGTTGACCTACTGGTATGTCTTTGGAGTGTGGGTAGAAACTGGAGCACCTGGAGGAAACCCATGTGGACACAAGAAGAACATGAAACCCCACGCAGATAGCTATCCAGAATTTGAACCCAGGGCCCTAGTGCTTCAAGGCAGCAATGCTAAACACTGCACCTCTATGTCACCCCAACACAACACCCATTGTGTGCTTTCTGTGACATATATTCCTCATTCCTCAGGAATATATGTCCATAAGATTCTATTTATTACATACTATATAATTTTAAGCGATATACGATAGTATTTATTCATTGTCACATACTGAGAGAAAGACATGCAGGGAGTGGCATTCTAAGTAACAAAAATATTTATAATAATGGAATTGTGGTTACATTTTAATATTTTAATAATTTCTGTAGGTCATTCCTTCATTATTTAGAAGTGCCACTTTAGGCTATGTTATGGAGAATGGAGACCTTTCTTGTGAGACCCATGTGAGTTTTGTGATGGCAGTTCCTTCACCTCACGGTAGTGAAATGCTCTAACAGAGAGGATAAAATGTGTTTGTTTGTAGGTGCAGAAGTCCAGATCCCTGAGAGTCTATCTGTCCCTGTGAGGGTTTACAATGTCTTGGCATCCGACCCTGATGAGAAGGACATGCTCACTGTAAGCAGAGGACTTGGAGTGGACATTGGTGTCATTTGCTTTTTCCGTTCAATTAGAGGGAAAACTGGTTCAAACCAAAAGTCACACACAAACTATACCATACTGCAGTTCAGAGTGTATCACTGTACAGTATATCATTTTATGATAATTGCTTGTTCGGAGACAATAACTTCTCTATAAACCCAGTCTGGGAAATTATTCCAATGCCATATGTCTTTGTCAATCAGTCCTCTCAGTACAGCCTCCTGAGCCCCAAAAAATGCTTTCTGCTTGGACAAGAAGGAGAACATACTTGTACTGACACATTCTGGTGCATCACTAAAAATCGCTTTGTCCATAAATTGACTATTCCTTTCAGGGACATGTGGGGCTTGCAAAAAAAAAACACAGAGCAAAAGTAATCTTATAAATAAATAACTAAATTTAATGACCAAGTAGTCAGGACTTTGGTGTAACATCTCAGTCTATTTCCTGGTGCACAGTGTACCCTTTCACCATACAAGAGCACTGGTTTGGAACTTTTGATCCAGAAAAAAGACCGCCACCTGCTGGGATATCAACATCACTTGCAGCAGCAACCTGGTTTTGCTTTGTGGGCTACTAGCCCAGTAGTGACAGGACCAGCCTTGCAAAGCGTCTGAGATGTGGCTTACCAGGCAGAACGGTGGTAATATAGAGGAGAACTCAGAAATTGAAGGTGACCCTCTACTGCTATCTTTGTCCCCCAACTATTTGTGAAATGACACATTTGTTATACAGCAGGGTCTCGATATTTGCAAATTTAACATTTGGGAATTTGCTTGTTTGCGATTCTGGGTCTTGAGCGGAAGAACAGCAGAGCAGGATAAAACCAAGCCGAAGGTTGTGAAGTGCAACTTTCAAATTAGCCGCGCAATAGGCAAGGATCATGGGATGAATCTAACTAGTGAGCGAGCCTCTCTCTGCCCCCTGCCCAAGTTCCCACTACCCAGCATCCACATCTCAATGCGGTCTTGTTTATATATTGTAATGAACGCTCCTGGTTACTGGATACACAAGTCTATTCTTCTTTCTCTTTTCATTTATTTTTCTTTCTCTTTTCATTCAGTACACTATAAGCAAAGTGCAGCCCATTTCATCTAGAAAACAATTTCAGATTGATGGCACTGGTGTTGTGACTTCTAATCAAAGTTTTGATTACCAAAATGGGCCACAAGTAAGTTTGAGCTTTATTTCGTCGTTTTTTTTGTGTGTTAGCTTCACACCTGAAGGCAGTTACCAGCATACAGTATATGTTAGTGCACCAGAACATTGTAACTTCAATTAATAAATAAGTACTGCTTAACAGTCAATAGTTACCTCTCTCAAATTCACATATTCTCAGTGAGTGGATATTTTTATTTCAAATAGAAGTACCAGTTTGTTCATCTACGGCTCCAGAAAAATGGTTAATTCAGTTTATTATATATTTATGATAGTATGACGAACTGATAGAGTTATAAAAGATGATGAGGATGTTTTTAATCATTCCATTAAACACATTTCCACCACAGAGGGGCAGCAAACGGTCTGAACCCCAGTTTGAAATTCTGATATGCTCAGGCTTTCCAATAAATAAGTTTCTGTCCTCCTGCGTAAAGCCACCATACCATACTGAAACAAATAAAACATGGTAACACTTTAAAACACTTCATGATAAATTACGGAATTGCACCCGTTTCCCAAAGGACTTGCATATTATTGTTACTCAGTATTTAGTATGCTACTAATGTGTGCCTCAAAATACAGAACGAACTTAAGGCCCTGCACTGAAAAATAAATGAAAGGCGCAGATAGGAAAACAAGACATGTACTGTAATCACAAGTGCGAAAATACTGCACACTTGTACTTTTTTACCCCACCTGTTATCCTGTCTTCCTGCCATTTGCTCTGGGGTGAACAGGTGAAGAGTGGGAGGCCGAATGTCTGTGAGAAATAAATGGAGTGAAAGAGACACTAATGCTAGCTCTGTCTCCACTGTCATTTAGGATTTTGTTGTCTCTGTGACTGTCAGTGACCAACATGGTGCAAACTGCAGTGGCACCATCCACATCAAGGTCCTTAAAGTCTTTATTCATCCCCTCACATTCATGTAAGTACAGCACTTTTTGTGAATTTGTGCTACTAAAAGCCTGCCACCTCTAGACCACAAAGCAGCAGCTTTCCCTGGCTTGTCTTTCCTTCCCGGTACTTTAAAATAAACAGGGCTTTCTTTGCAATATGTCATGAAAGCGTATCGTTGCAGAGCTGGCAGATGTAGAATAATGCAGCTAGTGATGATTACTCCGTCATTAGAGCAAAAACATGAAAGAAAATAAGACAGCGACTATTAAATTTAAGATAGTACGATTGTCAAAGATTAATGTGGCTTGTTTTAGAATTAAATCATAAATGTGTATAGTAGTGTGGATAGCATTGCTTCCTCACAGCGCAGGGGGCCTGGGTTAAATTCCAGACCTGGGGTGCTATGTGTGTGGAGTCTGTATGTTTTCCCCATGTTGGCATGGGTTTTTCCCACAGTCCAAAGACGTCCTGGAAGGTTAATTGGCTTCTGGGAAAATTGGCCCTGGTGTGAGTGTGCATGTGTCTGCATCTGTGTGTGCCCTGTGATGGACTTGCACTCTGTCTTATGCCAGTTGTCTTTTGGGATAGACTCCTGCGCTCCTGCAACCCTGTGATTTAACTGATAAAGTGGTTAGAAAATGGATGGATATATGCAGTATACAGTATATAATGCAGAATTAATATCTAGATTGTCATTTATTTGCCATTTGTGATGATTCCTCTTCTTTTTATCTTAGACATCCTTCCCAGAATGTCTCCATCGTTGAGAATAAAGGCAATGATGATTTTGTGGCGACTGTCACTGCCAACGCCTCTGATATAAGTTACACCTTTGTGGAAATTTACCCACCATATAAGATAGACAAAGGTATGTACGGGATCAAGCCATGGATGGGTTCGTGCACTCAGATAGAAAAGCATGGTTTCAAATAACACATTTTTAATTTTTCAGTGACAGCATTCACAAGATTTGATCAAAAAATATAATAAGGAGCTTAAAAATAGGTGAAAATGTAACACATTGATTGGTCTTTTATGATACAATATTTTTTTCTCTTCATTCTTCACAGGAAATGCCCACAGGTGGAGTATTGAGCTGACCAGCTGGGCCTATCAGGAATCCTGACATTGCACTAACAGCATTCCTCTGTCACTTATTGCAGATAGTGGGATCATCCGAACAGCTTACAATCTTGACCTTGAAGCAGACCTGGCCTTGCAGTTTAGTGTCCTGAAAGTGCGAGCCTACAGTCGGTTAGATCGTCGCAGTGCCACTGCCACTGTTACTGTCACCGTGCTGGATGTCAATGAATACCCCCCGCTCTGCTTCCCTTCTGTCTTTGTGTAAGATCAGTTGTAGTGGGAGCTGTTGCGAGCGATGAATGGAGAAAGGACTAAGAGCCACAGTGTATAAAGTAATGGAGTCCGTTAAGCCAAGATGTAATGGATGGAGTTTAATAGTTTTTAAATGAGCCCAAAACCTTTCCAAAATCATTGTCATCACCTCATTCTCCTACTGTATACCCATGCAAAATAGTTGATCTTCTCATAGTCGTAGAGACTAAATTAAATTCTGCAGCAAAAGTCTGGCTGATATTGTCACTATAAATGGTTTCATTGTAGGCTAATGGTATCAGAGACAACTCCAGTAGGCACCAGCCTGGGTACACTGACCTGCCATGATGTCGACATCACCAACACTGCTCTCTCTTATCAGCTACAACCGAACAATTTATCTCTCTTCAGTTTCCGTCTTGAGAACGGCTGTCTTAGGGTAAGATTTACAGATGATGGGGAGACGCTGTGACAGATACACTGATACACCTGGGCTTAATTCACTGTGACACGACAGGAATTTGCATACCAGCAAACTTATTTTGATTCTGCTTTCAGACTTATTCCTTTGTTTTTCCACACAGGGTTAAAAACCCTTGACAATGGAGTTTAAACACAACAAGTATTTATTAACACTATGGATTTCAATCTTGAATGTTAAAGGCAGAATCACTTTGTAACAGTGTATGTCAAAAAATTATTGTATAAACATCTGTCTTTATATCTTTATAAAAACCCAATCCTTGCATATAATCATTTCTTTTTTTACAGGTGAATAACACTCTGGACTACGATAATGCTCTGGTTGCAAATAATAACTTCCAGTACCAGGCCACTGTATGGGTCAATGACAGTGGTATACCCTCCCTCACAAGTCAGTATGGCACCTTGGTTATTAGTATTGTTGGTCTGCTAAATAACAATTGTTTGTTATATATGACCCCGTGGTCAAGAACAAATGCATTTATACATTTTGGAATCAGTCCAGTTGTTACAATTTCTCACGGCACTTTTATTGAGCATCTCATTATGTGACAATGGTATAAACTGTAGCTTCAGATTTGTGGCTTGTGACCAAAAATATTGTGACATTCAGAAAATGTTATGAGCTCTCAATCAAGGAAAGCAAAACAAGCTCAATGACATATTGCTCTCTGTGAAACATCAAAGAAAGTTTGGGGAATGTTGTAGGCCAATGATTTAATTCAGCAAGGTATGGACATTGGAAGATCTTTAGGCAGGAAAAAGAATGTGTTTGGACTCATGCTTTTTATTTTAGTTTACATATTTTAATGCATCATATGCTACTCCATATGAAAAGGCTGCATGTTGATTTTTTTTCTTGTCCATGCAGAAAAAAAGGCTGAGGTTCCTCTGTGTTTTGCATTTCAGCTGCTGTGCCTGTGCTGGTCACAGTGACCCGTGTTAATGAGTATACACCTCAGTTCCAGGGCCCGCTGGCTTTCAGTGTGCCTGAGAATGCACCCAGGCTTGCTGTGATTGGCGCAGTGAAGGCCACAGACAGGGACTGGGAGTTCAGTGCTATGCGCTACTCCATCATCAGTGGGAGTGGTTTCTCCATCAATCCCAAGAATGGTCAGTTATGCCAGATCATTGGTATTTTCCTTTGAGATACAACTGTTGGTAAATAAAAGGGCCCTGTAAACTGGGCAAAAACATATCCAATCTAAAAGTCAAATATTCTTTTTGTAATCCAGTTCTCCTAACACTTATTTCACTCTGCCACAAGTTAAACTACAAATAAACCTTTTGATTTTAAGTCTTTGATCATATAAACAACAAGATGTCTCAAACAAGTTTTAAGCAAGATTGCTATTGATCTGGTTTTCTTGACCCGGAATTTCTTGGTGGCTGCATATCACATTTACAAACCCACGTTCTGGAATGATAATGAAATTCTGAAAAACAGGTTTGTTGTTTTTTATGTTCCTTGGTGGTTAATTTTCTCTCTATTGGCAGGAGAACTTTATCTCAGAAGAAGCTTGGATTTTGAAACCCAGAAGGTACACCTCTTGAAGGTGCAAGTTGTAGACCTAAACCAGGATGTAGATCCTAGCAACCAGAGGACAGCCAATCAAGAGATCACCATCCATGTTCAGGTTCTTCTCACCCAGTTGCTTTTTCTTCCCAAGACGAGCAGACTGTCTTATTGATACTGTGCAGCAGGGAGGCTTGACTGTGCTTTTTCATGGTGTGCCATGCAGGTAGTTTCTGAGCTGGAGACCTAAAGCAAAGGCCAATATTTTTCTCAGTGGAAAAGGGACAGTGTTTTCTTCTTCCTGAAAATTACAAATTGATAAATCTGTGGCTTTTTGTAGTCCACAGTGATTATTAGAGAGGACCAGTGGCAGGTGGCAAATATTTAAAGGGGAACTTATTTAAATATCACAATTTTTATATTTCGAGGTTACAAAGAACCAGTATTGATGAGTGCTTTTCAAACCACAATAAAAGCAAAATGTATGCATTAACTTATAAAACCTTCAATTTACAGCGCAAAATAGATTACATTTGCAGGTATGCGCCATGTTAAGCGATTCAGAACAAGGCAACAAAACTTTCTGTGACGTGATGCAGTCTTATTACATTGTAAAGAGGCAGGCCTGCGAATACATCATGAACAAGTAAAATTCCAGCATTCCATGCTGAAAAGAAAAGAAACACAACGTTTCGGCTGTGGAGCCTTCTTTGGGTATGGGAGAAGAAGGCTCTACAGCCAAAACATTGTGTTTCTTTTCTTCTCTTTTCAGCATGGAATAACATTTTAGTTGTTCCTTTGCAGGTACACTGGCTAACGCAGGTACCTTCTTGAACTACTTGTGAATACATCTCTTTTAATTCAATATAAATATTCCCCTCAACATCAAGACTTGCTGATAAATGGAACTTACTGATACCTCTGCAGATCACATTGGTAATTTTCTGTAGTGAAATATCTGCTGCACAACATGTACTCAATTCACACACATATCTCATTACATTAGTTGTTACAGTGACTAGTGAGCAGGAAGGGCTGTATTGCGTCACAGTCATGGGAACTCTTGCTCTTGCCCCCGATAACACATGGGGTTTGCAACAACATGACACTTTACAGTACTTGCACAAAGCTCATGATTTTGTACTAAATGCGAGATTTGTACATTTTTTCTATACTTTAAATTCATTTTGTTACCAAGATTTATTAACTGGTCTGCGAAATTGCAACTGCAGTTCCCCTTAAAAGTGGCAGGACACAAGAGTCAATGAGCGTAGTCGGTATTTTTTACTGTGGGTAGAGGTTATTTAATACAAGTCATAAAAGAAAGGGTTTTATAAAAGCATGAAAGCAGGTTTTCTTTATTAAAAGAAGCATTTTTCCCTAAAAACCTCCTTACACGATGGTTAGTACATTATAGAAACTTCATCGGCATTAAATTTCAATATCTGCTTTGTATAAACCATTTTGTTGTTTTCTGAAGACACTTTTCAAGTGATTCTAAAAAAGAAGTCCTAAATAAATTCATCACCAGAAACTGTGTGAACAAGACATTGTTTAAAGTACAGAGCAACTGTGAGCTTTCTCACTGCATGTCATTTATTGAAAGTAGAAAGAACTGAGATCCTCTAGCAGATAATTATATGATGAAATACTGTAAGAACAGAACATTTTAAAGGCATTTTTTTCAGCCTAATGATTACTAAGTAATTTTCAATATCTGCACTATGCCAGCCCTTCAGGCCAGAACTTGGTTTCCTTGGCATTAAATAGGCAAGAGAGCATAAGACTCCCTCACAGGGATTACTCTCAGACATGCTGATCTCCATTTATAGAGCTGTGTGGACTGGAGAGGTGGGATAACGTACTTTGCTCAAAGTACGAGAAGAGTCTTCTCAGTAGGTTTAACCCTGTTTAATTATGTGGTCAAAAACAAATGCATTTATACATTTGTGAATCAGCCATAGGAGTTAGGAGTCCAGAGACCTACCCACTACCCTGTGATACCCCCAGTTTTGTATAAATATTTTTAGATTTTTAATATTTATTTATATCTATTATACAATAAAAAAACTGCAATAAAAATGAGAACAAAATTAAAACAACCTCCCAGACCTCCTGCCATCCATCCCTACAACAACAATCCACACCCAAAAAGGAGAATAAAAAATAACACACTCAAATACCCCATGATTATCTACATTTTAAATACATACATAAAAACATGGCGAAATACAGACAAATTAAAGAGATTTAAACAAGATAACTGCTGACTCCCATGATCTAATTGTTTGTGTTTTAGCTCCATGGATACAGTCTTTGGAAAGTTCCAAAAATTAAAAGCCCAAAAACCAGAAATACTCAATGAACCCCCAAATTGATTGAATGACATACATAAAAATATTGGAAGACTATTATATTAATCTTTTTGTTTTAATCCAGTATGGGAGCCAGTTCAGAAAGATGTACAGTGCCTTGCGAAAGTATTCGGCCCCCTTGAACTTTTCAACCTTTTGCCACATTTCAGGCTTCAAACATAAAGATATAAATTTTTTATTTTATGTGA